GGCCCAGCACCGATCTACAACCTATCCTGGAAAACAATCCCTCACTCTCTTGGGAGGCAGGCCAGTCTTTGCTTCAGCCAGCCCCCCAACCTGAAGCAAATACTCACCAGCAACTACACACCACACCACAGAAACACTAATCCAGGAACCAATCCCTGTAACAAGCCCCGTTGCCTACTCTGGCCCCATATCCTCTCTAGCGACACCATCAGAGGACCCAACAACATGAGCCACAACATCAGGGGCTCATTCACCTGCACATCTACTAATGTGATATATGCCATCATGTGCCAGAAATGCCCCTCTGCCATGTACATTGGCCAAACCGGACAGTCTCTACATAAAAGAATAAATGGACGCAAATCAGACATCAGGAATGGTTGCATACAAAAGCCAGTAGGAGAACACTTCAATCTCCCTGGACATTTTATAACAGATTTAAAAGTAGCCATACTTCAACAAAAAAACTTCAAAAACAGACTTCAAAGAGAAACTGCAGCGATACAATTCATTTGCAAATTTAACACCATTAATTTGGGCTTGAATAGGGAGTGGGAGTGGCTGGCTCACACAAAAGCAATTTTCCCTCTCTTGGTATTGACACCGCCTAATCAATTATTGGGAGTGGATCACATCCACCCTGACTGAAGTGGCCTGTCAACATTGGTTCTCCACTCATAAGATAACTCCCCTCTCTTCATGTGTTAGTATATTTATGCCTGCATCTGTAATTTTCACTCCATGCATCTGAAGAAGTGGGGTTTTTTACCCACGAACGCTTATGCCCAAATAAATCTGCTAGTCTTTAAGATGCCACCAGACTCCTCATTGTTTCTGTGGATACAGACTAATACGGCTACCCCTCTGATACCTACCCACTTGTGTAGTAGTCCCCTAACCTCTGGCTGAGTTACTGAAGTCTTCAAATCATGGTTTAAAGAATTCAAGTTACAGAGGATTAACCATTTACAATAGTTTAAACCTGCAAGTGACCCATGACCCTTGCTGCAGAGGAAGGCAAAAACCTCCTAGGGTCTCTGTCAATCTGACTCGGGGGAAAATTCCTTCCTGACCCCAAATATGCTCATCAGTTAGACCGTGAGCATGTGGGCAAAACCCACCAGGCAGATACCTGGGACAGAATTGTGTGTAGTAACTCAGAGCCCTCCCCATCTAGTGTCTCTTCTCCAGCTGCTGGGGATTTTTGCTACTGGTAGTCGCTGATGGGCCACATGCCATTGTAGGCAGTCCCATCATACCATCTCTTCCATAAACTTATCAAGCTCAGTCTTGAAGCCAGTTAGGTTTTTTGCCCCCATGCTCCCCTTGAAAGGCTGTTCCAGAACTTCACTCCTCAGATGGTTAGAAACCTTTGCCCATTTTCAAACCTAAACTTGTTGATGGCCAGTTTATAGCCATTTGTTCTTATGTCCACACTGGCACTTAATTTAAATAACTCCTCTCCCTTCCTGGTATTTATCCCTCCAATGTATTTATAAAGAGCAACTGTCTCTCTCCTAAGCCTACTTTTAGTTAGGCTAAACAAGCCAAGCTCTTGGAGTCTCCCCCCAGAAGGTAGGTTTTCCATTCCTCAGATCATCCTAATAGATCTTCTCTGCACCTGTTCCAGTTTGAATTCATCTTTCTTAAACAGGGAGACCAGAACTTCACACAGTATTCCAGATGAGGTCTCATCAGTGCCTTGTATAATGATACTAACACTTCCCTGTCTCTACTGGAAATACCTCACATGATGCAACCTAGGACTGCATTAGACTTTTTCACGGCCACATCACATTGACAGCACATGGTCATCCTGTGATAGACTATTACACCCAGGTCTTTCTCCCCTCCGTTGCTTCCAACTATTAAATCCCCATTTTATAGCAAAAATTCTTGTTTTTAGTCCCCAAAATGCATGACCTTGAACTCTGAACTACTAAATTTCATCCCATTTCTATTACTCCAGTTTACAAGATCATCCAGATCTTCTTGTATGATATTACGGTCCTCCTCTGTATTGGCAATACCTCCCAACTTTGTGTCATCCACAAATTTTATTAACACACACTTATTGTGCAAAGGTTAGTAATAAAAATGTTAAATAAATAAGATTAGTCCCAAGATCAATCCCTGAAGAACTCCTCTAGTAATCTCCCTCCAGCCTGACAGTTCACCTTTCAGTATGACCCACTATACTCTCCCCTTTAACCAGATCCTTATCCACCTTCTCAGTTTAATTCTCAGATTAATCCCCATCTTCTCCAATGCCATACTGAAATCAAGGTAGATTAGATCTACTGCCTTTCCTTAGTCTAAAAAAATCAGTTATCTTCTCAAAGAAGGAAATCATATTGGTCTGGCATGATTTATTTTTTGTAAAATCATGTTGTATTTTATCCCAATTACTATTTACCTCTATGTCTTAACAACTTTCTCTATCAAAATTTGTTCCAAGTCCTTTCATACAATTGAGGTAAAACTAACAGGCCTGTAGTTTCCTGGATCACTTTTTTCTAAAAAAACCATGAACAATATTAGCAATTCTTCAGTCATAGGGCACAACCCCCAAGTTTACAGATTCATTAAAATCCTTGCTATTGAACTTGCAAATTTCATGGGCCAGTTCCTTTAATATTCTTGTCTGGAGATAATCTGCCTCCCTCCACCCCCGATTTAGTCCCATTAAGATGTGTGAATTCAACTTCCACCTCAGATGTGGTAATTTCTACCTCCATATCCTCGTTGCCATTAGCCACCCTGCCACTACTCCTAAGCTCTTCATTAGCTTCATTAAAAACTGAGGTGAAGTAATTGTTTAGGTATCAGGCCATGCCTAGACAATCTTTAAACTCTACCCCATCCTCAGCATTTAGCAGTCCCACTTCTTTCCTTGTTTTTTTCTTATTGTAGAGCTATAGAACCTTTTACAATTGGTTTTAATTCCCTTTGCAAGGTCCAACTCTGCTTGGCTTTTGACAGTTCTCACTTGATCCCTACATGTTCTAACCTCCAAGAGGTAGCTTTCCTTGCTGATCCCTCCCATGATCCATTCCTTGTAGGCTTCCTTTTAATCATCTGTTTGAGATCCTTGCTCATCTATCTTGGTCTGCAACCCTTCCCTATTAATTTTTCCGCTTGCTTGGGATATAGACTTCAAATAGCTTCTGCAACTTTGACAAAGTAATTCCAAGCCTCCTCTACATTCAGACCCTTGAGTTCTTCAGTCCAGTCAACTTCCCTAATTCCCTTAATTTTTTAAAATGA